AAATAAATAAATAAATTTGAGGCCAGCTTTAGGAAGACCCTATCAAAGGCAGAAGAATAAAGGAAGGTGTATTTGAAGGTGATAACATGGTCTGTGGAAGCTTTGAATGTGGGCGTGTAGAGGAATGAAAAAGTAGGTGAGTCTTGAAAGGGAAGCTGTGGTCAGATGGTTGAGGGTTTTCATCTATTTGTCCAAGGCTGCATTGTCCAGTAGAACTTTCCTGTTCTGCTGGAAATTTCTTCTCCCTGTGCTGTCCAGTTCATTAGCTACACAGATGGCATCTGGATGTCTATAGAGCACTTAAGCTATGACTAGGATACATAAGAAACTGAATTGTTAATCATTTTTTTGTATCAACTTTATTGAGATATTCAGTGACAAAAAATTCACACTGTTAAACTTACATGAATTGTTTATTTTACTGTGGTCATAGAATCTTGCAGCTATCACACTATCTAATTTTAGAACATTTTCATCACCCTAGAAAGAAACCCAATAGCTACTAGCTCCCTATTCCACCCCCTCTCCTACCAGCCCTTAGCAACCACTAATCTATTTTCTGTTTCTATGGATTTGCCTATTCTGGACATTTAATATGAATGAAATCACATGCTTTGTGGTCTTTCATTACTGACTTGTTTTATTTACCATAATGTTTTTTATGGTTTATCCATGTTGTAGCATATATCAGTATTTCATTCCTTTTTATGGCCAATTAATATTCAGCAGTATGGATGTACCACATTTTATTTATCCATTCATTAGTTGATATGCTATTTCCACTTTTGTGCTAGTATAAATAATGCTCCTATGAACGTTGGTGTATAAGTTTTTGTGATGACGTTTTCAGTTCTGTACCTAATGGGTATATACCAGTAGGGGAATTGTTGGGTCATATGATAGCTCTGTAACTTTTTGAGGAACTGCCAGACTGCTTTCCAAAGTGGCATAATGTTGAATTTTAATTAATTTAAAATAAATAGTTATATGGGGCTAATGACTACATAATAGACAATGCTGATTTAATGGCTTTCCAGTGTGG